CACACACACACACACACACACACACACACACACATATGCAAAGATAACCTACGACCCTAACCCGTCTACTGCACCACCCCTGAGCCCAGGTGTACGGGGGTACACAGCCTGACTGAACTCTGAACTTTCACTCACCCTCTGCACACACACACACACACAGAAACACACACACACACTCAATCACTCCTGTCCTTATTAAAAAAGCACACCTGAAAAAACCTCAACCAGATTCTGATATCATTTTCAAAAACCCTCAGGAGAGAGAGTTATAACATGAGTCATTCAAAAAAATAACATTACTCAGCTTGAATTCTTACCTCTGAGCCAATCCTGGAAGTAGTGCAGCCACATGCGGGGCAGTTTGCTGTCGCTGTCTCTGACCACGTATCTAACAGAGTTAAAAGCATTGTGCAGCTGGATCAGCAACCGCTGCGACCGAGCATAGTCAAATCCATCCATGGTGACCAGGTACATGTTGTAGAAGGAGAAGTACTTAAACTGGGCATCAATGAAATCATACTCCTTGGTGTCGCGTGGCACAATGTCGGTCAGGTAGAGCCCGTCGTGCACCATGGTTGTCCCGTACAAACTGAGGCCCAGGAGGCCCAGGAAGAGGACCACCACAATTGCTTTGCTTTTCGGATTGAGAAGCAGAGGGGCGTATTTCTCCTTGGCAAAGCTGGACAGGTTCCAGTGTAGGAAAGGGAGTGGGACGCACTTTTTTCCCGATTTGGAGTCTTTCACCTGGGCGAGGAGGTCCCGGGTGGAGCTGGAGGTAGGGTTGAAGAGCTGAGAGCCGTAGGGGTCAGGCACTGAGGTGGTGGTGGGGGAAGGTGTTATAGCTAGAAGAAGGAAAAGCAAACAGTGTTATTAGTGTTTTGGCAAAAAATTTATTTTTCAAAAAATAAGCTTCATGTAACTTTATTTACCTGAAGCCTGGGAGGTGGGGCAGAGGATGATGGAAGGTGGGCTGGTGGAGATCTGTGAGGTAGGCGGTAGGATTGTAACTATGTGCTGTCCTGCTGCGTCACACTGAGTGAACGCCTGCACTGTGGTTGTGATCTGGGTGCTGGTCGTGATCGTGGACCCCGCAGCGTACTGGTGCGTGTGCGTCGTTGCCGTCGTGGGCGTGTGCGGCTGCTCTCCGGCATCCGACAGCTCGTGCGGGGAGAGGTGGATGACGCGGTTGGAGCAGGGGCTGTACAGGCAGCAGAGGACGTCCAAACGCTTGTCCTCGCGTCGGTGGAGGTCCAAGCTCAGGATGGCGGGGAAGATGAGCAGCACCATGGCGAAGTTAAACACAACCACGATGGCCGCCTAGGGAGAGAAATACAGAGAGAAAAACAAAGTGAGAATAAATGGAGAACAGTATGTGAAATTACTGGCACCTTAATTCAGCTGGGGAGAGTCAGGGCTGCTGTTTTTTTAAGCCCAGAAAGTAAAGAAAAGACTCTAAATCACCAGACAGGAATACTAAACAAGCCAGGAGGGGAGAGGGAGAGGGAGAGAGAGAACAAAAGAATAGAGTGCCAGAAAGAAAGAACTACGAGAAAGAATGAACGAAAGAAGCAGGAAGAGGAGGGAGGGTTATAT